TATATATATCGTCGAGCACCTTGACCCTCTTGTCCATTAAACTTCTTCACTTCGAAATATATTTTCCCTAGAGCAATATCATACGTACAATTTGATCTTCATAGCAAAAAAATAGTCTCTTGCCCACCATACTTAAGATAACTTGTGACTTTTGGGTGCTAGATGAGATAAGAGGAGTCATGAATGTTTGGAAAGGAGGGTTGGATTGACAGGCACGGGTAAAATGATTTTATTTTTCCTTTTCCAGCTTTTTAAATTTCTTGTTTTCATTTCTTTTTCTACTGTAACATTCAAAGATAAATATAAAATTGCATTTTTAACAAAATATTCGTTGATTAACTAAAGTCAAAATTTTAGTGCTATTAAAATGAAAAGTTGATAACGGAAGTGCTCATCTTTATAGGTTAAGGGTAATTGACACAAAACGTCCTTACCTTTCAAGTCTATTATGGAAAACGTCCCTACCTTTCATTTTTTGGCATTTTTGCCCTCATTTCAACCTTTCTTTGCGCTGGACGTCCTTCCGTCCATATTCCGTCAGTTTTTCCGTTAATTAAAGGGTAATTGGCACAAAAAGTCCCTACCTTTTAAGTCTATTGTGGAAAACGTCCCTACCTTTCATTTTTTGACATTTTTGCCCTCATTTCAACCTTTCTTTGCGCTGGACGTCCTTCCGTCCATATTCCGTCAATTTTTTCGTTAATTAAATACAAAAATACATTTTTCTTTCCATAAACAAGGGTAAAATTGTCCTCACCCACTTCACCATTTTTTCCCGCCATCAACTTAGTCCATAAGTAACAGTAGCAGTAACATGAATTTGAAAATACTTTAAACGATTAAGTTAAATAAAGAAAAAATATCGTGAACACATTATATTTCACAATTCCACAACTACTGTTGCTGTCATCTTGTGTCACTGAAAAATTTTAGAAAAACATATTAAATGGGTAGTCAATTTATAATGAGCCAAAATGGTGAATGGCTCTTTTTGGCTCAATGGAGAAGATGAATGACTCATTTTAAATTGACTCATTATAAATTGACTACCCATTGAATATGTCTTTCTAAATTTTTCTAGTGACACAAGATGACAGCAACAGTAGTTGTGGAATTGTGAAATATAATGTGTTCACGATATTTTTTCTTTATTTAACTTAATCATTTAAAGTATTTTCAGATTCATGTTGCTGCTACTGTTACTTATGGACTAAGTTGATGGCGGGAAAAAGTGATGAAGTGGGTGAGGACAATTTTACCCTTGTTTATGGAAAGAAAAAGATATTTTTGTATTTAATTAACGAAAAAACTGAAGGAATATGAACGGAAGGACGTCCAGCGCAAAGAAAGGTTGAAATGAAGGCAAAAATACCAAAAAATGAAAGGTAGGGACGTTTTTCACAATAGACTTGAAAGGTAGGGACGTTTTGTGCCAATTACCCATAGGTTAATGACCAAAGTGCTATACGTGTCCAAAGTTGGAGACTGTCTTGCTGCTATTTTTCCTTTTTATTTTTTAATGTCTTTAGGCATTAAAAAGAAAAAGGAAAATTGGAAAAACATACGGGCCAATGCTAGCCGATTGGTGAACGGTCTGTTCTATCCAGCCTCGACGTCCCACGTTAAAACCCTAAACCCTTTAACTGTAGTCTTCCTCTAACGACTGCGTTTTTCCAGCAATGGCGGATTACAATTCGACCTTAGAATCTTCATCGACGAACAAGATGAAGAACGGAAAGAAGAAAAGAAAGCAAAAAAGTACTGAAATTAATGAACTAGAAAAAGAAGCACAAGAACATAGTGGAGGTCCTTCGAAAATTCCACGCATCGATAAGTCCGAGGGAGAAATCGTAGAAACAAACACGAAGCTCGAAGATTTTTCTCCATGGAGGAATCTGCAGCTAATTTTATTCCTCCAGAACGAAGACATCGACCTTCTAAAGTACGTAATATGTGTTTGCAGTAATTGCTGAATTTTTTTGTTGCTTTTTTGTTGTATATATGATCATAATGAGTCTAGAATTGAGGTGGAAGTTAATTATTGAGGTTTAGGTTTGATTTGGGAGAGATTTTGGAAAACGATATGGAGGAAAAAATAGTGTGTTTGAAAGTGTAAGATAATTTTTTTTATTTTATTTTTTTTTAAATTTCTTAAAATTGGCATCTTTCTTGCAGGGCAATCTGAAATTTGAGCTGAAAATTTTGCTTCCCCGAACAAAATTGGAACTCGTTCCTCCTGTTTTGATTTTCACATTTAGTATTTGGAAATTTAGTTTTGTAAAATATATGTTTCGTTTCTCCCCATCAAAGTGTTTAATGTTTTTACTTACTTTTGTTTGTGAATATGTGCTTTTTGGGTATTTAATCCGTGTTTGATAGAAAAGACAATATGATGCAGGAAGGTTGATTTGGCATTCAGTTATGTGAATTCGATAACTGATGAAGCAGTGGATGATATTGTTCAATGCCCTGAGACGATTAATAGTTGTAGAGTGTTAGTTTTTATGAACAACTGGGTACAATCAGTCTTGATTTCATCAGAGAAGAAAATGAGGCAGGAAGGAAACAAAGCTGAGTATGAAGTTTCCTCAGCGTTGTGTTTGGATATCAGAGGCTGGAAAATTTTGAAATTCTGTTTGGAGAAGTCGCAGAATCTACATGTTTCACTGACCTTTTCTAGAGACTTATTATGGGTTATTCATTGCGTAGCAAGGGATATGTTATCTCATATAAATTATCTAACCTCATGTTGCGAGGTGGCACTTTCTTGTGAGCAATTGGAATTTTATGACACTGTGCTGAATTGTATCTCATCAATCTTCTCATCCCATGGTGGATTTTCAAATGAAAATCTGGGTATATGGATTTCGGTCATGAATATGGTGCTAGACCTTGCCTTAAGGCTTGTTAAAGACGAGCTTGATAATTGTAAGGCGGGCAACTTATTCATGCAATTACCTTGTAGCCTACTGGAGCCATTTGCGAAGTTCTTGAGGGTCCATCCTATGCGCAAAAATGGTTTTCTTGATTTCATAGATAAACTTCTGGAGCCTCTGTTGCACTTGTTGGTTGTGCTGCATTCTGATTTTGTTGGCAGTAATTCTGAATGCAGAATAAATCTATCTAAGTTGGCTGAAGAAGTGTTAGCTCAGGGGCTCTTCCACCCAGCTCGCATTGATGGGTTTCTATGTTTACAAAGTACTGGTAGATATAAAAGTTCATATGATGGTGCATTAAGTGAGGAAAAATCGGTCAACAGAAGTTATCACAGACACCTGTTTGATAAACTGGAGAAGATTGCAGCAAATAAGAATGAATATGCATTAGGCGGTCTAGGACAGCTGCTTCACTTGTTTGTTAATTCGGTCACTAAGCAAAAGGGAACTTCAGTCAGCAGAGGAGGGTCTGGGGGCTCGGAAATCAGTTCAACCAATAATTTGCCTGAAAACTTTTCCCTAACCAGAATGGTTATTTCAGAACACAGGCCCAGCTCTAATGGTTTGGACGCTGAAATGCGGAAGTCAGTTTTTGAATTTTTTGTACACATCATGGAACCTCTAATAACAGACGTTAATAAATATCTTCATGTTGATGGGGAACTTGGATCTATGTTAATGAATGTTTCGTGCATGGTAAGAGCCATTAATAATTTGCTTGCCTGCATTGTTCATGAAAAGGTGTATGTAAGAACAGAAGACACCTCTGAAGGGGCTTCCATTATGTTTCTGAGGTTACTTTATGATTTGTTGGTGTCATTTTCTGCCAAAATTAATGATGTAAGTACTTTTGGCTCAGAGAAAAGTTCACATGGAGAAGTCTTGATTTCAACAAGAAAGGAGATTATTGTGTCTGTACATCATTTATTAGATATCGAGTACAAAGTTGTGGATGATGATCTTGAGAGCTTATGGACTATGATTTTTTCCTCTGTAGCCTGTAGCAATAGTTCGATAGATGTGCTGGATCAGTCTGTGTTGTCTACTGAGATTCTGAGTCTTGGTTGCAGGCTGGTTGATCTTTACAGCGAACTTCGGCAGGTTAGTGTGCATTTTATACATATTACTGGCAGTCAACTTGGCTGACCCAAAGCGTGCTCATTTGTCCCATTTTTATTAGGATTGCGAACTAGCTGAATATCACTTGGCTAAATATGGGCCAATCTAGACCTGAAATATATGCATTCCAACCTCAGCCTAATAGGCTCAACCAATTTGTTCCGGCTCATTTAAATAACAATAATGAACTATTTTCAAATATATCTTCTACATATCACTTTTGCCTCTTTGGGAGGATTAACATCTTGCTGCTCGTTTTCTGCAGTCTTTGGTTTCAACTGTATCTTCTACTTAGATAACAAATGTCAATAACAAAAAAATTATCTTTGCTTCTTGGAAAATAAGCAAAATAGAAATTGGAAGCAATTTTCTTTGCCTATGATATTTTTTTTATTGCATTTTGTCTTGGTTTCTATGATTTGTATTTATTTTGGAGTCAAAATCCTGATTTTATTTATTGAATTAGTGTAGGTGAATAGTTCTATATTTGCACTGTGTAGAGCAGTTCGGCATTTTGTATCACTTCTTGGGGACAATAAAGCACGAACAAGTTCGCATGCTTATTCTTCGTACCCAAATTCTTTGAGCATGATGTTATGTTCTCCAGAATTTAGGCTCTCTCTCAGCAAAGCTGTCGAGTCAATACCAGAAGGGCAAGCAAGTGGATGTATTCGGCAGTTGAGTTCAGATGTTATGGAATCGCTGCAGTGGATGAAAGTTGACTGTCAGCTGGCCAGTGAAGATGAACTTACAAAGTCAAGTCCAAGTAGATGTGACTTGCTGCACTTCAAACTGCAAGCAGAACTCATAGGAAGGGCTTTGTCTGAAGTATATAGCATAATTGTAGACTCAATAACAGTCAGTTCTGGCAATAGTTATCTGGTCGGTGTTTCTGTGAAAAATTTGATAGAAAATTGTCGCCTGAGTTTGAGTTGCCTAGTTTCGTTACAACCAGATAATATTAAAGAATTCTCCAATTTATTTAATAGAAGAAGTTCAAAGAAGAGAGATGGCTGTGAGAACATATCCATGTGTTGGATTCTAGTGTTCTACTTCCGTTTGTATTTGTCCTGCAGAAGCTTATTACGACAAGCAATTAGCTGTATGCCTCCTGATGCATCAAAAAGGATGTCAGGAGAAATAGGTGATTCATTTTTATCTCACACTGGAAGGGATTGGTTGGAGGCAACTGGCTCTGTTGATGAAGGATATTTTTCTTGGATTCTTCAGCCTTCTGCTTCTCTTCTTAATGTCATACATTCTATTTTAGATGTTTATCTTCAAGGCACTGGCATAGTTTGTCCACCTCTGGTCTTTGTGTTAAATACCATGGCTTTTCAGCGGCTTACCGATTTGAATAAGCTGATAAAATCCTCAGAATATATGCTTCTGTGGAATAGAACTCGGGGTCAGCAACAATTGAAGGATGGTGCTCAGTTCTCTTTATACGGTAAGAAAATTAAAAGATGGAAAAGGTACCTGTCAGATTTCAGAGAAGAAGCGGGAGGTCTAACCAAAATCATGATGAAACTTCTCTTGTCAATGGTTACGGTCCATGTACCTGCTCCCTCGTTTGATGATGGAATTAATGGGGACATCTGGATCCAAACTCTGCTTAAAAGTGACACACACAGTTTTGCTATAGGCTCCATGGATGAAAAGTTATTGCCATCTACACTGTTGTGGAGCTTTTGCAGAACTGTTGATATTTGGTGCACTCATGCTACCAAGAAGGATTTGAAGAAGTTTCTTGCACTTCTAATTCAGGCATATCTTTCCTGTGTCACTGATCGTGAAGGCGAATCTCGAAAGTGTAACATTGACAAGCCTGGCCACCTGAAGAAAGTCACTGCACATCACATTGCGCTGGAGTTTCTAAGCAACACAATGTCATATGAACAAAGTGTAAGATAGCTTTTAGAATCATTTCATTTTCTTGTCCAATTGGCACACCCTTTATTCTCTCTTTCTGTCCTAAATCTTAACTTCCTGCTTGGACATGGTTCAACAGCTGCATATGCATCATTCATATAGCTTCTTATAATTTATGTCATATTATTCATGTTAGAACTACATGCATACACACTTATATACAATGACTATACTATATGCATATAAGATGATCGAAGGTAACCTCTAAAATAAATTGGGAAATGGGTCTCTAATCTAAAATTTATATTGTTTCAAGGTCAATAGGGGCGATCAAATGTTTTAGGGCAAGATGCATAAAAGAAATTTAATTCCAACCTACTAGTTCATGGCTATTATAGCGCGGAGGAAGTTACCAAAAAAATTACTCATTCAGAAGTGGCTTGATGGAATGAAGAGTGAGAGGCCGAACAGAGTTAACTTGGGTGTTTGTTCATCATCTATTCCAAAAATAATTCAGTTATTAAATACTATATCAAAATGGATCTTTCAAGTGCTTGACATTTGGTAGTTCAAGTCTTATAGGATAGTTTACGTCACGTGAAGAGAGGATCTACATTGGACTTAACTGCTCATTATTTTATATCTTCTCCTATGGGCCAGTGGGGGCAAACTCAGGCATTTACAAATTATCTTTATTCTGTAATCTTTTGTGGGCTAAGCGGGGCCAGTGGGTGATTGTCCCCACTGCTTGGACCCACACTGTAAATCTGCTCCTGATCCTACTTTGTGTTACATACTCTTTCACTCACCACTCCTCTTATACCCTTAGTTGTTTGTACATTCACCTTGCCATGTCATTGTTGAACTGGGATTATAAAGGATTTGTGTTTCATGATATGTTCTCACAGTCTACCATTGTAGTTTGTCCGCAGGTATATGGCATCCAGGTATTGCCAGATCTTGCAGAAGTCAGCGTCATCTATGTTTGCTTCTACTAAAGTTGATCTAAGTTCATCACCTGATTGGATGGAGGTTATATGTGCAGTTGAAAATGCATCCAATGTGCAGAATGGTGATTCATTGTGGACAGGATCAAATAGAGATCCTGCTCAAAAAGGAACTAATATTGAATTTGCAAAATGCCGGCATTTGCTCAAGCTTTTAAATTGGATGCCAAAAGAATATATGAGTTCGAGATCCACTTCATTGTACATTACTTGCATTCTGAACCTTGAGAGGTATTTTATTGCCTCAAATGTTCTTGTTTTCATTTTCTAACTTGCAAAACGGCGTGCTGCCTGTTGTGTATCTATGTTTTCTCTGGCATTTGAACAACTTCTTTGTTTTTAGAAGTGAAAGGTATATTATCCTTGAGTTTTTGAAATGTTGACTTTTAACTTGCAAAAAGCTGAAATATTGGTTTGACTGCCAGAAAAATTCTCATGATGTCATATTGAGACATTTTCCGCATTAAATTTTATTTTTTTTTAATTTTTTTTTTATCTCTCTGTCTCTTAGGAGGGAGAGGGGTAATTGGGAATTAGGTTCTTTCATGATGAAACCCATTAGATTATTAGACTTTAAATTTGAGTATTATTTTTGCTGAATAAATTTACTCTAAGCTCAGTGTAATGTTAAAGATCTCGAATTTGCTGAGGGGGTGGAAAAATTACAGTGTATAAACACTGGAAATGGGGAAAGATATGGAGATTCTTCAAGTTAAGATCTCACAGTTTATGTTCAAATGGTGAAAACTATTTCTTCCTGCTTTTCCATTATATCCATACTAAACAATTGCAATGAAGGCCAACGTTATCTTTTCACGTCTGAAATTTTGCACTTATACTGGGGTAAAGTAAGCAAATGTCAATGTCTTAACACTAGATATAACTGTTGGTAATTTGAAATCAAGCTCAAATGACGGGATGGATCTCAATTTTAGTACCTCATTATTATATTAGAGCTAGAGATCAGGCCTCAGCTTGACCATGGAAGTTTCAGATATAGAGATGTACTGAGACTTGATCCCGTTACACCAATTGAGTGTCAACTTGGACACCACAGTTAGGACATGACTATACATGGTTAACCTCTCAATTATAGTTTTCTGCCAAGTGTGCTCCTCGTGAATTCTTGATGCAAGTTTCACAGGTTAAATTGAACCTATACATTTCAGGCTTCTGGTTGGCAGCTTGTTAGGCTGGCATGGTTTGTTATGCTCCTGCGATGCTCTTGAGATCCTCAGATTGTTTGTATCCTGTCGAAGGGTTCTTAAGAATCTAATCATGGCATCTTGTGAAGAGAATATGGAAGGTCGTCAATCTTCAGTTGCTAGCAAATTCTCAGAGAACTCGTTTCCTCTGTTTTGGCTTTCTAAGTCATTGTCAGCAGTCATGGGATTTCAACATGCATTTCCAGACAATATTGCTTTTGAAGCAAAAAATGCATTTTTTTCCTTGATGGATCACACATCTTATGTGTTTTTGACAGTGTGTAAAGATCATTACTCCCTTGTTACGTCTACGAAGCTTTGTAAAGCTAAGAAAAGCTCAGATGGTGGCCTTGAGGAGTATGATCAGAAGGCATACAACAATCTCCAGTTGGACCCCCCTCTGAATGTAGATGCATGGGGAAGTGTTGTGCAGGTAGCTGAGACATTAAAAGAACAAATGCAAAACTCACTTGTCACTTTCAACGAAGCTTTACTTGACAAGAAAGTAGGGATTTCACGTAACTTTATTGAGTTGAATAAGTTATAATATGGACGGAAGGACGTCCAGCGCAAAGAAAGGTTGAAATGAGGGCAAAAATGTCAAAAAATGAAAGGTAGGGACATTTTTCACAATAGACTTGAAAGGTATGGACGTTTTGTGCCAATTACCCATAGGTTAATGACCAAAGTGCTATACGAGTCCAAAGTTGGAGACTGTCTTGCTGCTATTTTTCCTTTTTATTTTTTAATGTCTTTAGGCATTAAAAAGAAAAAGGAAAATTGGAAAAACATACGGGCCAATGCTAGCCGATTGGTGAACGGTCTGTTCTATCCAGCCTCGACGTCCCACGTTAAAACCCTAAACCCTTTAACTGTAGTCTTCCTCTAACGTCCCACGTTAAAACCCTAAACCCTTTAACTGTAGTCTTCCTCTAACGTCCCACGTTAAAACCCTAAACCCTTTAACTGTAGTCTTCCTCTAACGTCCCACGTTAAAACCCTAAACCCTTTAACTGTAGTCTTCCTCTAACGTCCCACGTTAAAACCCTAAACCCTTTAACTGTAGTCTTCCTCTAACGTCCCACGTTAAAACCCTAAACCCTTTAACTGTAGTCTTCCTCTAACGTCCCACGTTAAAACCCTAAACCCTAGTCTTCCTCTAACGACTGCGTTTTTCCAGCAATGGCGGATTACAATTCGACCTTAGAATCTTCATCGACGAACAAGATGAAGAACGGAAAGAAGAAAAGAAAGCAAAAAAGTACTGAAATTAATGAACTAGAAAAAGAAGCACAAGAACATAGTGGAGGTCCTTCGAAAATTCCACGCATCGATAAGTCCGAGGGAGAAATCGTAGAAACAAACACGAAGCTCGAAGATTTTTCTCCATGGAGGAATCTGCAGCTAATTTTATTCCTCCAGAACGAAGACATCGACCTTCTAAAGTACGTAATATGTGTTTGCAGTAATTGCTGAATTTTTTTGTTGCTTTTTTGTTGTATATATGATCATAATGAGTCTAGAATTGAGGTGGAAGTTAATTATTGAGGTTTAGGCTTGATTTGGGAGAGATTTTGGAAAACGATATGGAGGAAAAAATAGTGTGTTTGAAAGTGTAAGATAATTTTTTTTATTTTTATTTTTTTTTAAATTTCTTAAAATTGGCATCTTTCTTGCAGGGCAATCTGAAATTTGAGCTGAAAATTTTGCTTCCCCGAACAAAATTGGAACTCGTTCCTCCTGTTTTGATTTTCACATTTAGTATTTGGAAATTTAGTTTTGTAAAATATATGTTTCGTTTCTCCCCATCAAAGTGTTTAATGTTTTTACTTACTTTTGTTTGTGAATATGTGCTTTTTGGGTATTTAATCCGTGTTTGATAGAAAAGACAATATGATGCAGGAAGGTTGATTTGGCATTCAGTTATGTGAATTCGATAACTGATGAAGCAGTGGATGATATTGGTCAATGCCCTGAGACGATTAATAGTTGTAGAGTGTTAGTTTTTATGAACAACTGGGTACAATCAGTCTTGATTTCATCAGAGAAGAAAATGAGGCAGGAAGGAAACAAAGCTGAGTATGAAGTTTCCTCAGCGTTGTGTTTGGATATCAGAGGCTGGAAAATTTTGAAATTCTGTTTGGAGAAGTCGCAGAATCTACATGTTTCACTGACCTTTTCTAGAGACTTATTATGGGTTATTCATTGCGTAGCAAGGGATATGTTATCTCATATAAATTATCTAACCTCATGTTGCGAGGTGGCACTTTCTTGTGAGCAATTGGAATTTTATGACACTGTGCTGAATTGTATCTCATCAATCTTCTCATCCCATGGTGGATTTTCAAATGAAAATCTGGGTATATGGATTTCGGTCATGAATATGGTGCTAGACCTTGCCTTAAGGCTTGTTAAAGACGAGCTTGATAATTGTAAGGCGGGCAACTTATTCATGCAATTACCTTGTAGCCTACTGGAGCCATTTGCGAAGTTCTTGAGGGTCCATCCTATGCGCAAAAATGGTTTTCTTGATTTCATAGATAAACTTCTGGAGCCTCTGTTGCACTTGTTGGTTGTGCTGCATTCTGATTTTGTTGGCAGTAATTCTGAATGCAGAATAAATCTATCTAAGTTGGCTGAAGAAGTGTTAGCTCAGGGGCTCTTCCACCCAGCTCGCATTGATGGGTTTCTATGTTTACAAAGTACTGGTAGATATAAAAGTTCATATGATGGTGCATTAAGTGAGGAAAAATCGGTCAACAGAAGTTATCACAGACACCTGTTTGATAAACTGGAGAAGATTGCAGCAAATAAGAATGAATATGCATTAGGCGGTCTAGGACAGCTGCTTCACTTGTTTGTTAATTCGGTCACTAAGCAAAAGGGAACTTCAGTCAGCAGAGGAGGGTCTGGGGGCTCGGAAATCAGTTCAACCAATAATTTGCCTGAAAACTTTTCCCTAACCAGAATGGTTATTTCAGAACACAGGCCCAGCTCTAATGGTTTGGACGCTGAAATGCGGAAGTCAGTTTTTGAATTTTTTGTACACATCATGGAACCTCTAATAACAGACGTTAATAAATATCTTCATGTTGATGGGGAACTTGGATCTATGTTAATGAATGTTTCGTGCATGGTAAGAGCCATTAATAATTTGCTTGCCTGCATTGTTCATGAAAAGGTGTATGTAAGAACAGAAGACACCTCTGAAGGGGCTTCCAGTATGTTTCTGAGGTTACTTTATGATTTGTTGGTGTCATTTTCTGCCAAAATTAATGATGTAAGTACTTTTGGCTCAGAGAAAAGTTCACATGGAGAAGTCTTGATTTCAACAAGAAAGGAGATTATTGTGTCTGTACATCATTTATTAGATATCGAGTACAAAGTTGTGGATGATGATCTTGAGAGCTTATGGACTATGATTTTTTCCTCTGTAGCCTGTAGCAATAGTTCGATAGATGTGCTGGATCAGTCTGTGTTGTCTTCTGAGATTCTGAGTCTTGGTTGCAGGCTGGTTGATCTTTACAGCGAACTTCGGCAGGTTAGTGTGCATTTTATACATATTACTGGCAGTCAACTTGGCTGACCCAAAGCGTGCTCATTTGTCCCATTTTTATTAGGATTGCGAACTAGCTGAATATCACTTGGCTAAATATGGGCCAATCTAGACCTGAAATATATGCATTCCAACCTCAGCCTAATAGGCTCAACCAATTTGGTCCGGCTCATTTAAATAACAATAATGAACTATTTTCAAATATATCTTCTACATATCACTTTTGCCTCTTTGGGAGGATTAACATCTTGCTGCTCGTTTTCTGCAGTCTTTGGTTTCAACTGTATCTTCTACTTAGATAACAAATGTCAATAACAAAAAAATTATCTTTGCTTCTTGGAAAATAAGCAAAATAGAAATTGGAAGCAATTTTCTTTGCCTATGATATTTTTTTTATTGCATTTTGTCTTGGTTTCTATGATTTGTATTTATTTTGGAGTCAAAATCCTGATTTTATTTATTGAATTAGTGTAGGTGAATAGTTCTATATTTGCACTGTGTAGAGCAGTTCGGCATTTTGTATCACTTCTTGGGGACAATAAAGCACGAACAAGTTCGCATGCTTATTCTTCGTACCCAAATTCTTTGAGCATGATGTTATGTTCTCCAGAATTTAGGCTCTCTCTCAGCAAAGCTGTCGAGTCAATACCAGAAGGGCAAGCAAGTGGATGTTTTCGGCAGTTGAGTTCAGATGTTATGGAATCGCTGCAGTGGATGAAAGTTGACTGTCAGCTGGCCAGTGAAGATGAACTTACANTTAAATGACTATCGTTTAGTCGAGGCCCACAAGAGAACCATGGGTCCTAATGGGGGCACCACTGGTCTTTCTATTTGCCTTACGATGGCCGTTAACCATTGACCATCCTGGATTGTTCTTTACGAGCTGATAAGGTAGGTGGAGGGCACTACCGAATGTCAACGGCGAGAACTCCATGGGACTGCTGGGGGTTATATTGTTACATGACTTGGTGCAGAACTACTATGTTTTTTGCACCCATGTTTGGGCTCCATTAGTTTAAATTTAAATTATGATGAAAGGAATAGTAATTTTTTGTAGTGTGGTTAAAAATGAAGGAAATTTTTTTAAATTTACGTGCAATATTACTTTATTGGAGAATGTATGGTTGATAAGAAGAGAGAGAAATAAATTTTAATTTAAGGTTATAGTATTATGTTACTGTTTGACAAATCTTGAATTTTGTAGTTTTAGTGAGAAATAATTAATGCATTTGTAACCTCCTTTTAAATGTGTGGCCTCATTTAATTTTCTTGTATTTTTATAAAAAAAATTTAAGTATTTGAGAGCGTTCTCCACTCTTATTGCATCACTAGTTTTCCTTAATGAGTAAAATTTACTTTGATTATTACCCGAGTCAGAAGTATTAGTAAAGTGCTGTCCTATTGACATGCACATTACCTAATGGTTTATGCTCAAGCAACAAGGCCTTGTAACAGGATTTGGATCACCCGTTAATCTGATCAAAAAATTAGATCAAGGGCTCCTCTCGTGACACCTCGGTCCCCTATCCCCAGCCCTGATACTGTGGCAAGGCTCTTATCTAATAGCCTATGTTCGACAAATTTTAAATTATTCATTTTAAAAAAGGCAGTTATAGTTATGATCATATATATGACGTTGATTGAATTTAAATTATTTATAAATTAGTTGTCGATTGAGGCAAAATTATATATTTAGACGATTTTAACTTATTAATTCGATCGTGTAGTCATTTAATGTCTACGTTTTTCATTAGATGAGGATACAATATGTACAATGTGAAAAATTTGGGAACATAAATACCACATTTATGAAAGGTTGAGGACCTTGAACGAATTTACCCCAAATTTTACAAACACGAAGTTTTGCAATGAAGGTCCTCAATCTTTGTTCATTTATGCATTTAGATTTTTTATCCTTAACTTTGTTTGAGAATTACTTATAACCCTCCCAAACCTCTTCAAATGATACTTGAAGTCGTACCAATTACCTAGTAAAACTTCGTCCTTACTATTTGAGTTAAGTTTTAATTATTTTTATTTTTAACCTTCAATTAATTAACACATTTTTTTTTGTTAATGATCTTCTCTTTCAAATCTTCTGTTAGCGATTTTGTTGAATTTTTGTATTTGGGCCATCTTTTTTATGACCTCCTAATATATATTTTTTGTATGAAATTGTTAGCAAGATGAGATATAATTAATAAAATATTAAGACCACTGGGGAGCTTCATTCGTTACGTTGAATTCGGCCGAGTCCACAAACCATTAAAAAACCTCGTTTTCTCTCTATTGGAAGTCGAGAAAAAAAAAATGAAGTTTAGGGTTTTCGTTATTCTCGCTCTTCTCATTTTCTCTTCGTTGTTTCTACAAGGTATGACTATCGTAGATCTGATCCGTTTCATTTAGACTCTCTCAAACACTGCTTGAAATTAGGATTTTATTTTTTATTTTTTATTTTTTTTTACGTCAAATTTAATTGATATCCATGTAAATTTGCATCCTCATGCGTCAACAATTTTGAATCGAACTTGAATTTTTATGTTGTTCGGGTTTTAATTTGTTGTATTTCGTGAGATCGTGGTTCTACTTTATTGTCTGTTTTTTAAGTGAGCGAATTTGAGACACCTATCTATATGAATTGTGTTTGTTGGAATGTATCGTTTTCGAATTGTGTTTAGTTTTGTTAGATGAAATTGATTCCAGAATAAAACTTTTACTTTCTGAGAGAATCCGTGAAGAGAAAGAAAGATTTTTTTCCCTTTTAAAAAGTTATTATGATGTGAAATATACTATCGGTTTGCATGTCGAGTCAAAGATAATTACTCTTCAAAATGTAGTTCTTATGGAAACCAAGGTAAAGGTTGGAGCACACCGGATTAGATCATATAAAATAAGGTGGATAGATTTTTATTTTTTATTTTTTTATTTTTCCGTTCAGAAAAATGTTAATTATTCGTTTAATATAATGCAGAGCATGGATATTGGTTTAGACCAGATAGAAAATATGAAGTAAATGACATTATTAATTGAAAGATCAAATAATATTATCCATCCTGGTCAAATCTACCTCTTATGTCTATTACAATTTTATACTAAATATCTTATCTTGTTTAATCTGGTGCACCAAAGGGAACAAAGGGATTAATTATCTGCCATTTGGTCCATGTTTAAGTTAATCCAACTTATTTGTGACTCTGCGGTGCTTGTTATCTTTTCCTACTGTTATATTACTGTGCCATTTGCCTGCGGAGTTGCTTAATTAACTGGTGTGCAGGCATGTAACTTATGGATTCAGTTTCTTTCTGTTTTTTCCCTATTCTGAATGGTGTATTGGTTTCTTGGATGGATTCTCCATTAATTTATACATATTGTATCTGAAAGTTTGATCTCCACATTCCTTTTGTTTGATAGTTGCAAGAAGCAAATCAGAACCAGATCCGGATGTAGTTGAAAATGATGAAGGAGGAGATCTTGGGATTGTTGGGGAGGATGTTCAAGATTTTGGTGGTGGAAGTTTCAGTCCAGCTCTAGGAGTAGAAACAATATGTGTTTTCCCCAAAAACCCCTCTAAATGTGAGGGTTCACTATTATGCTATTTTACTTTTGTAGTATTGTTTTCTTCTCTCTCTCTCTCTGTTATTTTTTTTTTTTTAAAGCTTCCTATTCAAGAGATGCATCTCTAATAAGATTCCCTTTTCAGTGGTTGTGGCTGGGGAAGAAGGTGAACTTCTGGTTGGAATTAAGAATGAAGGTAGCACTTTGGTATTTGGCTGTATGACATTTTTTTTTTTTATTTGTTCAACATATGTAGTTAGTGATATTATTAGCCTTCAGCTTTCATTTTTTAATTCTGTATATTTTGTTAATAAATTTCTCTTTTAAGACATGCCCAAGTAATTGAAAGCATGTCTGTTTTTACTACGTGATATATCTATTATAGTTTATAATTTTTGTATTAGATACTGTCAAATATGTAGGTGGATAATTATCTTGTGACTTTTATGATACTAAAAACAGGGGAGTCAAGTATTAATGTTATTGCAATCCAGGCCACTGTCCATCTTCCCTTTGATCACCAGTATTTAGTTCAAAATCTTTCAGCTCAGGTATCTTCTGTTTAATTCTCTGTGCATTATGTCTCTGCACGTAACCATCCTTCTTTAATGCATTTTGTGGGTCAATAACGATATTTAGTTGTACAGATGATCTATTAATTCTATGCTCATCAATTTTGTGCCAAGAACTGTCTTCAATTTATATGCACAATGAATGAATATTTTTACCTGTGGCATTGTGTTTATGGGTGATAATTCTCCATACTTTGTGCTCCCAGCTAGCTGTAATTCTGTGGGGCCATTACAGATATTTCTGCAAGACTTGTTTTGGGAGTGATTTGGAACTTTTAATTTCAAGAGGAACTAATTGAAATTAAAGCCGCACGTATATCACTAAGAAAAGACGGCAACATGACCCTGATTTTTGTCTTAAAAGGTCTAGATTTATGAGAAATTAAGAATTTGTCATCTGGCCTGGAGATTATTGTTAATAGGACAAGCGTCATCAGTTGTACTTGTTGTTGGTTATTTATTTTGTAATTGTCATGTCAAGAAACGTTTCAACTTGGGCAAGGGTGGATAGTGGAGACAATTACCCACCTCAAGACACTCAGCTAGTGAATTAATCATAACCTCCTGCAAATTGCTATTCTCTGTTCCTCTTGAATTTTGATGTTTGGATTTGCAGCTGTTTTGTGGAGTGTTCATGAATTTTGTAATTTTCTGTAGCTAGGTCTTACATAGCCCTTGTTTGGCCACAATTATATAGCCCCCATTATAATGAGAATTTGGGGAATATGTATTTTGGAATAGTAATTTTTGGAGAATGTGTGGTTAAAAAAAAATGAAAAGTTTTGGGTTTACGTGTAATATTATTTTATTGAAGAATGTGTGATTAAAGAAGAAAGGAAAAATGAATTATAACTTTAATGGGGGCCAAACACGGGGATAATAATAGAGATAGAGAGGGACCCTGTAAGGAAGAGAATTGCACGCTGATGCTCTCTATGAACTTCTGAGCTTCAAATACTGCTTTATGCTATAAGCATCTTTCAATTCTGGAATGTGAATTGCCTATTGAATTTTAAACCACTTCTGTCTAATATGATTCTTGGATGACTTGTGATAGTAATGTCTTATTGCCATATTCTAGGCTTTTAACAATGCTTCAGTCCCTCCTGCTGCCCAAGCAACTTTTCCCTACATATTTGCTGTGAGCAAATTTTTACAGGCAAGTGTGGCCATGTGGTTAAAGTTCATTATTCAGGTTTACTCTGCTCCGTGTATCTGTAAATTCCATGCACTGGCCAATTTTTTCTTTATCTTGCAGAGTGGTGCATTTGATCTGGTTGGCACAATTGTGTACGAGATTGATCAGAATCCATACCAGAGCACGTTCTACAATGGAACAATTGAAGTTACTGAGGCAGGTGGCCTACTCAGTGTTGAGTCTGTTTTCCTGCTTTGCCTTGGAACTGCCCTTCTTGGTCTTCTTGGATTTTGGATACGTGGCCAGATAAAGAATTTCTCAAAGGTGACTGCATATTCCTGTGCTTATTTTATTTTACTTATTTATTTATTTATTTATTTATTTTTATTTAGTTCCCAATACTGTTACTCAATCTACCTAGTATACTTTATTGACGTAGTGGATGATGCATGTTTCTTCCTAGGCTTATTTTTATCCATCCGCTTTTGAGAAAGATCTATGCCCTTGTTTGCCTAAGCTTATATAATTGACTATAATTTGGTCAAACTTTATTTTTATCCACACATTACAACCTTTCACTACTTTTGAAACTCACATTCGTCAGAATCCATACCTTATAATTAATTACAAGTTGACAAAAGGAACTGTCAAAATCTTGTTGGTAGCGGATATATGGGGGCCTGCTTTGGCAGTGAGTATTGGCCAGAGATGATCACATCTAGTTTTTTGGGATTTAACAGTAAAACTGTCAAACTACGTTCAGTCTGAGTTCTACTTAGAGGACTGATCCAAGCCAGACTCGGAAAAATAATACAAAAAGGAGGAAGTATTATGTTTTTAACTCATCACCTTCTGGATATATTCTTCACTTGTTACTGTAGGCCCCATTAAAAAGATGAAAAATAACAAAATGAGAATTGGTTCATCACCATTCATTTAGCTAACTGAATTACAGACCTGATCTATTGTTTTAACTCCCTTCGTTTTTGCCTCCTGAAAATTAGAAAACAAAGAGGGCTCCCAAGGTGGAGGTTGGA